TTTAAAATACCATTTAGGAGATTTCAAAATAAATAAAATGCCTAGACATAAATCTAAGCAAACATTTGTAGTGCTCATAGATTAAAAAACTTACTGTAGAAAAGATATCAGTTCTCCCCAAATTAAATCTGATGCACAGATTTAAGACAACTCCTATCAAGATCTCAGCAAGAATTTCTATAGCTATAAACATAATTATTCTAACACTTATATGGAAAGGGAAAGGAATTAGAACAGCTAAATTTTGAAAATGAAGAATAAAGTGAGAGGAATAATTCTGATTTCAAGACTTACTATATAGCTACAATAATCAAGTGTATGTAGTATTGGTGGAGGGATACACACAGAAATTGATGAAATAAAAAGAACCCAGAATAGCCCCCACATAACTATAGGCAAATGATTTTTTATAATAGTGCAAAAGCAGTTCATTGAAGGAGGAAAAAGTCTTCAATGAATTGTTCTAGCATATCGCCCAGGCTGGAGTGCAGTGGTGTGATCTCAGCTCACTGCAACCTCTGCCTCCCAGGTTCAAGCAATTCTCGTGCCTCAGCCTCCCCATAGCTGGGATTACAGGCACACGCCACCATGCCCGCCTAATTTTCATAGTTTTAGTAGATAGAGGGTTTCACTATGTTGGCCAGGCTGGTCTCAAACTCCTGACCTCATGATCCACCTGCCTCAGCCTCCCAAAGTGCTGGGATTATAGGCGTGAGCCACTGAGCCCGGCCTACTATAACTGGATATCTTTAGGCCAAGCAAACGAAAAGAACCTCAAACTCAAAATGGGTTGTATATTTGAAAGTAAAGCCTGGGCGAGGTGGCTCACGCCTATAAACCCAAGTACTCTGGGAGGCCAAGGTGGGTGGATCACCTGAGGTCAGGAGTTCAAGACTAGCCTAGCCAACATGGCAAAACCCCATCTCAACTAAAAATACAAAAATTAGCTGGGCATGGTGGTGGGTGCCTGTAATCCCAGCTACTCAAGAGGCTGAGGCCAGATAATCACTTGAACCTGGGAGGCAGAGGTTGCAGTGAGCCAAGATCATACCACTGCACTCCAGCCTGGGTGACAAGAGCAGAACACCGTCTCAAAAAAATAAATTAATTAAATTAAAAAGAAAAAAGGTAAAGCATAAGGCTTGGAGCAGTGGCTCATGCCTATGATCCCAACACTTTAGAAGGCCGAAGCCAGAGGTTCACTTGAGCCCAGGAGTTCGAGGCTGCAGGCTACAGTAAGCTGTGATTACACCACTGCACTCCAGCCTAGGCAACCAAGTGAGACCCTGTCTCTAAAAATAAACAAACAAATAAATATAAAGCATAAAACTATAACTTTTAGAAGATAACATTGGAAAACCTCTTCAGGACCTAAGGTTCAGTGAAAAGTTTTTAAGACATAACCCCAAAAGCACCATTCATAAATGGAAAAATTGGTAAGTTAGACTTCATCAAAATTTAGAATTCATGTTCTGTGAAAGACCTTGGCAAGAAGATAAAAAGACAAGCTACAGACTGGGTGAAAATATTTCTAAACTACATATTCAGTTAAGGGCTAGCATCTAGAATATATAAAGAATTCTCAAAATTCAATAGTTAAAAAAGTTAGCAAATGGGCAAAAAACAGAAGAGGCATTTCACTAAAGAAGACAGAAGGCAGATAAGCACATAAAAAGATACTCAACAATGCATCTCAGAACGTCCCTCCAAATTTGAAAAAAAAAGATATTCAACATCATTACTCATTAGGAAAATGCAAATTAAAACCATGATCAGATATCACTACCCACTTAGGAGTGAAATGGGGAAAAGCTCCCTTGCCCTCTCACAGGGCGTGCGATGGGGGTGTGGCTGGCTTCTTCAGTGCCCCACTGCTCAAACCTCTAGGGGAGCATACAGATGGAGAGGCTGCAGGGCTCTGACCCCACGGCAGCGTCTAGGGGTGAATTTACAGCTGAAGCCCCAGTGGGCATGTGTTATAGGGCACTTTTTTAGTTTAGCCCTTCCATAGGTGACTTCTGCTACTCAGCTCGATTAGATTTCTGCCTCATTTCAAGGTCAGAGAGCTTTCTGTATCCCAGGGTTCTTGCCTTGGTGTACCGGAAGAATTAGATCACATGAGGGCTTGGAGAAAGAGTACAAGGTTTTTGGTTGGTTTGTTTGTTTTTGAGACAAAGTCTCGCTCTGCCACCAGGCTAGACTACAGTGGCACGATCTTAGCTCACTGTAACCTCTGCCTCCCGGGTTCAAGCGATTCTCCTGCCTCAGCCTCCCCAGTAGCTGGGACTATAGGCGTACACCACCACACCCAGCTAACTTTTGTATTTTTAGTAGAGATGGGGTTTCACCATGTTGGATCAAGACCAGGATGGTCTCCATCTCTTGACCTCATGATCTGCCTGCCTCGACCTCCCAAAGTGCTGGGATTACAGGCATGAGCCACCATGCCCGGCCGAGTGCAAGGTTTTATTGAATGGAAGTAGCTCTCAGCAGATGGGTTAGCCAGAAGGGTGATGGTTTTCCCCTGGAGTAGGGCCACTCGGCAGCCCAGGCTCTCCTCCGTCTGCCCCAGCCAAACTCCGCATCCTTCTGCTGCTGGTCAGTGGCCTGCTGGTGTGCTGGCTCCTGTCCTGTCATCTGCCAGTGTGTTCCTCCTGACATCCAGCTGCTTAGTGTGTGCCGGCTAGGGTCTCAGAGTTTTTATAGGCACAGAATGGGGCATGGCAGGCCAGGGTAGTATTGGGAAATGCACCATTTGGGCAGGAAAACAAAAATGACTTGTCCCCACCTAAGTCTGTGAGCACAGGCCAGGGCCGGAGTGCGGGGGTACAGCCCTAACCAGGAACCATGCCCTCCTCTACCCAGCACTTCCCTTCCCTGCTTCCACGTCACAAGCACAGGTAAAATAAAAAATCATACCGAGCGCAGTGGCTCACGCCTGTAATCCCAGCACTTTGGGAGGCTGAGGTGGGTGGATCACGAGGTCAAGAGATCGAGACCATCCTGGTCAACGTGGTGAAACCCCGTCTCTACTAAAAATACAAAAATTAGCGGGGCATGGTGGCGCACCCCTGTAGTCCCAGCTACTTGGGAGGCTGAGGCAGGAGAATCGCTTGAACCAAGGAGGCAGAAGTTGCAGTGAGCCAAGATTGTATCATTGCACTCAAGCTTAGGTGACAGGGTGAGACTCCATCTCAAAAGAAATTAACTAATTAATTAATTAAATTTAAAAAGATGCCCCTATCATATGATCCAACGACTGTGCCTTTGGACATTTATCCTAGAGAACTGAAAACTGTGTTCACAAAGCCCCATACTGACATTCATAAAAACATATACACAAGTGTGTAGAGTGGTGTTATTCCTAATAGCCAAAAACTGAGAACAACTCAGATGTCCTTCCATGAGTGAATGGTTAAACACGTGGTGCTATATCCATTTTATGGAATAAATATTGGGCAATAAAAAGGAATTAACTACTGACACATGCAACAACCTAGATGAATCCCCGGAGAATTATGCTGAGTGAAGAAAATCAATCCCACAAGGCTATCTACTGGATTATTCCATTTATATAATATTCTTCAAATGACAAAATTATAGAAATAGAGAACAGCTCACTAGTTGCCAGGGGTAAAAGAGGGTAGGAGGGAAGGCAGTATAGCTATGCGAAGGCAGTTATAGCTATAAAAAGGAAACATGGGGGATCCATATGGCTTGAAAATGTTTTGTACCCTGACTGTATCAACGTGGATAACCTAGTTGTGATACAGTACTAACGTTTTGCAGGATGCCACCATTGAGGGTAGCTGGTTTAAAGGGTACATGAGACCTCTAGGCATTATTTTTAACAACTGCATGTAAATCTACAATTATCTCAAAATTAAAAGTTTATTTATTTATTTATTTATTTATTTTTGAGACGCAGTCTTGCTCTGTTGCCAGGCTGGAATGCAGTGGTGCAATCTCGGCTCACTGCAACCTCCGCTTCCTGGGTTCAAGTGATTCTTCCGCCTCAGCCTCCCGAGTAGCTGGGACTACAGGCGCATGCCACCACACCCGGCTAATTTTTGTATTTTTTAGTAGAGACGGGGTTTCAACATGGCAAGAATGGTCTCGATCTCTTGACCTCGTGATCCGCCCGCCTCGGCTTCCCAAAGTGCTGGGATTACAGGCGTGAGCCACCGCGCCCAGCCTAAAAGTTTATTTTTTTAAAAAATGTTTCCAATAAGTAAACAAATCGATGGATGGGAATTCGAATATTTTCTTCCCATACCATAACAGATCACCTTAGACGCACTCAGTTTTAGAGATCACTGCCATAGGTTGCTCGTACCTACTCAGTCTCTGGGCCCCGTAAGTTATTCTCTACATTTCCTTAATGTCATCTTTCTTAAATGCAAATCTGATCATATTACTTCTCAAAATCATTAGTCTGCAGTTTTCTTTATTCCTTTTTTTTTTTTTTTTTTTTTTGAGACAGGGTCTTGCTCTGTTGCCCAGGCTGGAGTGTGAGGTACAGTGGCATGATCTTGTCTCACTGCAATCTCTGCCTCCTGGGTTCAAGCGATTCCGGTGCCTCAGCCCCCTGAGTAGCTGGGATGACAGGAGTGTGCCACCATTCCAAGCTAATTTTTGTATATTTAATAGAGACAGGGTTTCACCATATTGGCCAGGCTGGTCTCGAACTCCTGGCCTCAAGTGATCCACCCAACTGGGCCTCCCAAAGTACTGGGATTACAGGTGGGAGCACCTGGCATACTTGCATTTTCAGTTATGCAAAACCCTGTCTTGAGTGTGAGCTACCTGAGGATAGGCACAATGATTAGTCCTTATGCGCGATTATTATCTCTAATTAAATGACCTCTAAGGCTTAGTGTTCCCTAGCACATATTAGGAGTACAACAGATCAACTTAAAGAAGGCCACTGTGTTTATTTCCTTTGCTTTTAATCCTAAAAACCCAGAGGTATTGATTCTGTGTTACCTGAGAACACTGACCTGCAATCACTCCTGCCAGGTACACCAGCCCCACACGGAGGCCTTTGTGGACCATTTCCAAGGGAATACCCAAAACAAGCTGCATACAAAGATTCCCCAAGATGTGCTGAACTCTGCAACGACAAACAATAGTTGTCAAATATTATGACTAAACCAAGCAGTTATTTCCCAGGGAGACAAACAAACTTTCATGTGTTTTTTCTAGTTAAGGATTTGCTTAACTAGAGTTCCATTTTCTAATTTTTTTTTTAGCAGAAAACTTTTTTCTTTTTTTTTTATGCATGTGTGTGCGTGTGTGTGTCAGTCTTTTTCATGTGAATGTGTGCGCGTATGTGTGTGGGGGTGTGTGTGTGTGAGCAGAGATTGCACCACAACCTCCACCTCACGGGTTCAAGCGACTCTCATGCCTCAGCCTCTCAATTAGCTGGGACTACAGCTAATTTTTAGTAGAAACGGGGTTTCACCACGTTAGACTGGTCTCAAACTCCTGACCTCAGTGATCCACTCATCTCAGCTTTCCAAAGTGCTGGGATTACAGGTGCGAGCCACCACGCCCAGCCAATTTTTGTATTTTTAGTAGAGACAGGGTTTCATCATGTTGACCAAGTTGGTCTTGAACTCCCAACCTCAGGTGATCCATCCGCCTTGGCCTGGCAAAGTGCTGGGATTACAGGTATAAGCCACCATTCCTGGGCCCTCTGGGCACTTTTTATGGGAAAAAATTAACTTCTCTTTAAGGCCCTGTTAGATATTTTTGGTACTTGCATCCAAAACATTCCTAATTTATATAACCCCACACATGATGTATCCTACAAAGCCTTGCAAATTTTTTTTTTTTTTTTTTTTTTTTTTTTTTTGAGATGGAGTCTTGCTCTTGTCCCCCAGGCTGGAGTGCAGTGGCACAATCTCAGCTCACTGCAACCTCCACATCCCAGGTTCAAGCAATTCTCCTGCCTCAGCCCCCTGGGACTATATGTATGTGCCACCATCCCTGGCTAATTTTTTTATTTTTAGTAAAGATGGAGTTTCACCCTATCAGCCAGGCTGGTCTCGAACTCCTGAACTCAAGTGATCTGCCTGCCTTGGCCTCTGTGACTACATCTTCTAAGCCTCAGACATAAAACAGCAGGAATAATACCTACTACCCCTCAGCATTGCTGTGAAGATCAAACAAGATTATGGACATGAAAGTGCCTTATCAATAATAAAGTACCTAATAAATGTTAGAGGTTACAAGGACATAATCACCTCTGATACCAGGGGCTTCACTGTCATTGCTTACCCAGCATGTACCAGCATGTATGAGATAAACCTCCAGGCTTCTTCCCTCTTCTCAGGACTGTAGATAAAGGGACTCTCCAAGATGCCTGTGTCCAAGGTGATCCACTGCTTCTGAGGCTTCCACACAGCATAGTAAATAAACACGGCCAGCTGATGGAGGAACAGACATATGTGTTAACCATACTTTCTCCAGAGAGGGGCCCCATTCAAGCCCATGGGCAGTAACTGTTTCAGATGATTCAGCTCTCAAGTGGGCCATACCGTAGTGCCAGAAGCTGACATGAAATACACTTCTCCACCATCCCCCACTGTGATGGTTCCCACCATACCCGACTACCTCTGATGGTTGGGAGCAGTGCTAGCTCACATTGTAAGGAAGAATTTGTGAACCCCTTTGGCCCTGCTCTTGGACACTCTGCTCTCTGACGCCATGTTCTCTACCACCCTCTCCCTCTTAAATACCCACTGCCCTCATCGTCACACCAGCTGAGCTTTCATTGACAACTTGCTGTGAAAATAGATCGATGGCTGGGCGCAGTGGCTCACACCTGTAACCCCAGCACTTTGGGAGGCTGAGGCTGGCAGATCACAAGCTCAGGAGTTCAAGACCAGGCTGACCAACATGGTAAAACCCCATCTCTACTAAAAATACAAAAATTAGCCGAGCATGGTTGTGTGCGCCTGTAAACCCAGCTATTCAGGAAGCTGGGGCAGGATAATCGGTTGAACACGGGAGGCAGAGGTTGCAGTAAACCAAGATCGTGCCACTGCACTCCAGCCTGGGCAGGACAGAGGGAGAAAAGAAAGAAAGAGAGAGAGAGAGAGAGAGAGAGAGAGAGAGAGAGAGAGAAGGAGGGAGGGAGGGAGGGAGGGAGGGAAGATCAGTGCTGGCTTCCAAAGAATAGAGCAGGGAAAGGGAAAAATAGTTACTTGCCGGGGAGAGACCTGACAAACACTGCCTTAACCAAGGGATAGAGGTGAAGGTCCCAGTGATGCCATGTGACATCCTCAACTTTCTGAGCCTATGTGATGGGAAGGGCCCTTCGCCTCCATGGTATTCTTCCTCCAAACTCATAACTCCAGTTAAATCACGAAAAAAGCATCAGATAAACCCTAGCTGGGGGACATTCTATAGGCTCCCTGGCCAGTCCCCCTCAAGACTATCAGAATCATGAAAAACAAAGACTGAGGAGCCTGGGGAGACATGGCAGCTAAATGCAGTGGGTACCAGAGGAACAGAAAGAGGACATCCGTGGAGAAACTAGTAAAAATCCAGAAAAATTTGGAGTTTAGTTAGTAATATGCCAATGTCAGTTTCTCGGTTTTGACAAATGTACTATGGGGCCAGGCACAATGGCTCCTGCATATAATCCCAGCCCTTTGGGAGGCCAAGGCAGGTGGATCACCTGAGGTCAGGAGTTCAAGACCAGCCTGACCAACATGGTGAAACTATGTCTCTACTAAAAATATAAAAAGTTAGCCAGGCGTGGTGGTGCGTGCCTGTAATCGCAGCTACTCCAGAGGCTGAGTCAGGAAAATCACTTGACCTTGGGAGGCAGAGGTTGCAGTGAGCTGAGGTTACGCCACTGGCACTCCAGCCTGGGTGAGAGAGCAAGACTCTGTCTCAAAAAAAGCTACTATGGAAATGTAATGTACTATATACAGAGATTATCCTGGGTTTAAAAAAAAAAAAAAAGGGAAAGAAATATCGGATATAAGCAACAGGAGGAGCTGGGTGAGAGGCATACAGCAACTTTCTGTTTTATCTTTACAACTTTTCTATGGTGGTAAAATTATTCCAAAATAAAAAGTTTATTTAAAAAAAATTTTTTAAGACAGTTTCTCTCTTGTTGCCGAGGTTGGAATACAATGACACCATTTCAGCTCACTCCAACCTCTGCCTCCTGGGTTCAAGTGATTCTCCTGTTTCAGCCTCTTGAGTAGCTGGGATTACAGGTGCCTGCCACTACGCCCAGCTAATTTTTGTTATTTTTAGTAGAGACATGGTTTCACCGTGTTAGCCAGTCTGATCTCGAACTCCTGACTTCACGTGATCTGCCCGCCTCAGCCTCCCAAAGTGCTGGGATTACAGGTTTGAGCCACGCAGCCTGGCCATTTTTAAATTTTTAATTTAAAATGGAGAAGGCACACACACAGCTGATTAGAACACCAGACAACCTATAGGCTGAAAGTATAACAGGAGGGAGAAGCAGGAAAAACAGATACAGGTGCTTCAGATCAGACAACTTCCCAGTTGCAAGTGGCCTCACAATAAAATCCTGGGAAAAAAAGTTAGAACTGTGCCCCTTCAACCTAAACAGACTTGACCACAGCATCTCCCGGGATGCTTACACCTCAGGCTTACCTGGATCTGAGCCGTCAGATCTTGGTCCCTGCAACAGTTAATTTTATGTATGAACTTAGCTAGGCTATGCTACCCAAACATTTGCTCAAACATTATCCTAGATGTTTTTGTGAAGGTATGGTTTATATTAACATTTAATCAGTAGTCTTTGAGTAAAGCTGATTTCCACCATACTGTGGGTGAGCCTTGTCTAATCAGTTGAAGGCCTTGCTAGAGAAAAGACTGTCCCCTGTTAGGAAAAGGGAATTTTGCCGGGAGAACTCTACCCCTGGACTTGAACTGCAAGTCTTCCCTGGGCCTCCAACCTGCCAGCCTTCCCTGAAGATTTTGGACTTGCCAAGCCTCCATAACCATTTGAGCTAATTTTTTTAAATAAATGGTTTTTTTTGAGATGGAATTTTACTCTTGTTGCCCAGGCTGGAGTGCAATGGCACGATCTCAGCTCACTACAACCTCCACCTCCCAGGTTCAAGCAATTCTCCTGCCTCAGCCTCCCGAGCAGCTGGGATTCCAGGCACGCACCACCGTGCCAGGCTAATTTTTATATTTTTAGTAGAGACAAGGTTTTACTATGTTGACCAGGCTGATCTCGA